ATAAGGCTTCAGAAATGCTTTTATTTTTATTTCTCAAGAGCTTCTGAATTTTAGTGTTCTTATCAAGAAAGTTACTCATGGCAAATTACCTGAACAATCTTTTTCATCTTTTGCAATTGTGAAAGAAGTACAGTTACAGTGAATAAGTATTCTTTGTGGAAGTCAATACTGCCAGTGCTTTGATTACATTCTGCTACTTTTATTTTCTTCATGCTACAAGCATCTTACATTCTCAAAAACCATATTATTATGAATGGTTTAGAAAACTACTATACCGTAGTATATCATAAAAGTATAATTAAAGATAAAAGAACAGAAGGGGATATGGGACCAAATTGAAGGGAGGGAGGTGGGGGGTGTAATGGACAAAGTGGCAGGAACCAAGACCATTGTTAAAATCCCCAAACAAACCATTGAAGGAAAGACACCGTAGAATGACACTGTCTTGAAACATGAAAATAGAAAAAACATAGCTTAAGAGTTTATATTATGAAGCCTTTTAAAAGCTTCTTTCCACATACAATGTAGAATTTGCCTAAAAGAAGTCCATATAAAACTCTACATGTATATCACAAATTCAGGGTAAGACCAAATTTGAAGAGAACCATGTTTGAATATTATTAACATCCAGTTTTAATTCCGGAATTAGTTTGTTATGACAATCTATGAAGTCTTTAACCCTTGACATGTTGGAATAGAAAATGATCAGTTCTTGTTACAAGTATAGATCCAGGCCAGCCTGAAAACCTGTGCACACAGTTCAGGTTCTGTACTGTGGACAGCTCAGTTTTAGTACAGGTATATTGATTGATTGATTGATTTGATTGACTTTTCCAAATACAAAACAGGGCACATCTATTACAGACATTCAGCAGTTTATTTTTACATAAGCAAATTGTTCACTAACAGACAGACAGGGTATGTTTTTTTCCAACAATATTGACCATGCACTTCATTTGACCCTATAGCCAGTAAATTCGGTAAACTTTTGATCTACTTTTAAATCTTTATGGATGTTTATTGTAATGTCGCTTTTCATTGGATAATCGTGATGTTTATCTTTTTTTTTTACATGGCTGCTGTTGATTCATGAAGAAATCTTACTTTTGACTATAAAACATGATGCTTGCTGTATTATAAATTCATTATAAAGATTGTTGACAGGTTATATGACCGTATATAAACGGCTGTTTGCAATATAACCCTCGCCTAGCGGCACGGATCATATTTACAAAAAGCAGTTAATACAGGGCCATATAACCTGTCAATAATCTAATAATTTTGATTCATAAAAACATCTTACTTTTTCTCTAAAAAATAATGCTTCAGCTTGCTGTATTATAAATTGGTTATAAAGATTGCTGACAGGTAATATGGCCGTATGTAAATGGCTGTTTGCAATATAACCCTCGCCTAGTGGCTCGGGTTATATTTACAAACAACTGTTTATACAGGGCCATAATAACCTGTCAACAGTCTTTATAACTAATCATATAACCAGTTGTTAAATGGTCTTAATTAAGGATCCCTCTTAGCGCAAGCAGTAAGACATTGCTTCATGACATTATAGACATTATAAACTCGTAGGTTCCAATCCTGGTTCAGCCACTTTATTTCTTTTAATTTTAAAATAGCCCTTCTCTAAAAACTTGTGCAAATCTTTTTTTTGTGTGTATACTATTTGTGTACTTTTTTATTTAAACTACATCTGTAGCATGTATGTGCTTAAGCATATACGTTTGCATAATGTCACCAAGAAAACCATTGAAAAATATGCGTTCTAGAGAAAAACTTGCGATTGTCCAACTTCCCTATGTCTGAGTACTTACAAAAACATCTTGATAAAACAAAAGGAAACACCTCACTACTTAAAAGTTATCCTAAAAGTAGATATATTAAAACAATTTCAAATTAATTCAATTCTTGCAATAACTAAGTAAAAAAACAAAAACACAAGAAGTGTGACTCAAACTAGAGACCTTCAGATCAGTAGCCTGGCATCTATACAAATACATGTATATCTCACCTTACTGACATGTGAAGATAACAAATATATCAATATATTCGTTTGATACATTTAGTGTTTATTCAATGACCTTATTGAAAGTTAATGAAGATCAAGGACAATATTGTTGGACAATATTACCAAACCAAAATATGCCCAGAAGTAAAAGAAATTTTTTTTTTGGATATAGAATGTATAACTTCTGCAAATTTAATGTGAACTGGTCAGTGGGCTAAGGTAATTTAAAGGTATTTTAAGATTTTATGAACTTCCTAGAAGAATAAAGTACATGTAATTGATTTTATAACTGAAATTGAAAGGTATGACAAGTAGAAATTGATTTATCAGCACCCATCAATTTTAAGCTGAGGTCTCACTTACAGCCGGCAGAGCCCCCGTAAGTTACCGGGATGATCCGGGACAATCCGGGGTGAAATAAATGTTGCGGTCACACTAACCCCGGCAGCACTATGGTAATTCCCAACTAACCAACCAGGATGCGCTCCGGACCATCCAGGCAGAGCCCAGGTGAAGCTACGGTTCTTGCTGTTGCTTCCCCAGTCATTCCCGGATGATGCCGGAAGAGCCCAGGACAATCCAGACAGAGCCCCGGTAGATTGAAAACGCGCGAAAATGATAACATTTGTAACAGAAATTCAGTAATGTAATTCGAGATGATTTTCTGAAAAATCCTTATGCAAGACTGGATAGAAGGGAAATGGGAAGGTTTTTAATACAAACAAGTGCAATCATCTTTAATTGTCGTGATTCTTTTGAAATGAACTGGGCTTTGCTGGGGCTCTACCTGGATCAACCGTAGCTCCATTGTCATCCTCCGGGGCTCTGCCCGCATCCTCCGGGGCTCTACTGTAGCACTACTGGCTATATCATACCCCGGATCATCCCCTGCATTCACCGGGGCTCTGTCAGCATGCCACGGGGCTCTACTGTAGCTCTACTGGCTATATCATACCCCGGATCATCCCCGGTTTGAGCCGGCGGAGCTACGGTGCTTCCCCGGTGTAACCCCTGTCGTTCCCGGCAGAGCTAAGGATGAAGCCGGCAAAGCTTTCCTACCCGGATCATCCTGGACCACCCCGGTGATATTAAATATTTTATTCCATCCGGGGTCGAATGCTGGATGTTCCTGGATCATCCCAGACGTTGCCAGCAGAGTTACGTATGTACCCCCGTTGTTCCCAGTAGAGCCTTGGTCATTCGCAGATCACCCCTGACGTCTAACGGGGCTCTGCCGGGATGTCAGTGAGACTGTAGCTTTAAGTCAAGACACATTATGAGGACCTTGTATTCACAGTTGTTATGGTGTCTCTGTCATATTTCCAAACAAAAATTTTTCAAATGTTTCAGCTTAACCTCTAAACCTGCTAATGGTGCCACACATTCTTTCATGCAACCAGTAAAGATCAAGGCCAGCATAATTATCCTTTAAAACATTTTGAAATCTAAAAGATTTTGAATGATTTTGCTAAAATTGAAGTCCATAATTTTATAATATCAATTGGGGTAAGGATTAAATGCCCAGCAACTGAAAGGGTGGCTAAACCTTACTTTTAATTTTGAAATACATGTACATTTGTCTAAGATAGCATTTATACCATTCTATAGAATAGCATTTATAACTAACCATAGCTTATCCCTTAATATATTTTTAAATAAAGTGGTATAGGCTATATTATTCTCTATTGAGGACATTCATTCTCTTCAAACTTATCACTGATTATTCTTACTTTCATTATTTTTATCATTCAAAACATGACTTGTACTTATTTTATAATCTTATTTTATCATGAATACATATATTTTATGTGATTTAGAAGTAATTTTTTATTTTATCCAATTATTAAATCCTATAAAAAAGATATGAGTTTGAGATACTTCCATTTTGCACAAAGAAAATAATTAAATTTTCTCAAAATTTGTGCGGAAAACAGTTGTAACTTGAGATACTACCCTTTTGCACAAAAAAATATGTAACAAATTATCAAAATTTTATTTGTAAAACGGTTGTAACTTGAACTTATTCAAATATCTTTTTTTAAAGATAATTTGCTTCTTTTTTATTATTTTGTTTCTAATTCCTTCACTAAAATGTATATATTTTCCTAAAATAAAAGATTTTTATTCATTAACAAAAGTTTTAAAAAGTTTTTTCATGCTCCTGTAAAATTTGCTTAAATTGAGTTACAACCGTTTTGCGCTAAGCCCGCGATATACAAGAACCAAAACTATCTTTTATTGCCCACAACCATAACTCCATTTCAATTCTTTTACAAGGTATTCTGTTACTAATTCATTTTTTACTTCCTAATTTCCGAAGCAGTCTTGCGGGGGTATTAATCACATTTAGTGATAGTTCTAGCTTGATTTTGTTATTTAGTGGTTCTAATATTAGCATAACAAAAAGTTATAATTTGTTATTAAGTGGATGTAAAATATTTCTAAACTTGTATGATTGGTTGGTATTGTAGAGGTATTGTAAAGTAGACGTAATTCTGAATGTTTTCAGAACTATGCAGTGTTATTTTCCTTCATTATTTTCTTTGTTTACTTAATTAAAAGTTAAAGTTAATTAAGATCCACACCGCTGTGTCAGTTCAAATATATTTTTTTATGTCAGTACATACCACATCATATTCACCTGTTAAAAAGTCTATATGTGTATATTAATACATGCCTGATGTAAATTTTCTTATATCAATGAATAATTTGTTATTTTGGCCTATAGATATATATGAATATTTCTTTTTGCCAGCATTGAGAATAGGCGCAGCTCATGCTATGTTATGTACATGTATAAATAAGTAGTTTTCACAATAGATTAGATATGCTGTGAGTGATATAGAAATATATTTCACTTATATATACACTATACATTGTACTTTCATCTGTTCTATCAATAAGCATAACTTGTACTTAAAGGTTTTTATAACACATATTTAGTTATATGTTAAATGTGTTACTGTTTTTATTTCAGCAATGCTGGAGAAACATTATTGTACTATACATCTACCAATCAAAGACAGCCACCACTCATTCTCTAGTCTTCTATACCTCAATCCAGAGGCATTCAAAGGTCAGTATTTAATGCCAGTATTTTTTCTTTCACTTTGCACATACATGTAGATAGATCTTGTTTTAATTAATTCTTGAATAAAAAACAGTATATGCAGCCAGTTTTGAACAATCTTAAATGAAAAACAACCCCAAGAGAAATTCATTGAACTGAGGGTTATTTACTTCGGTATTAAGTTGTTAACAAGAATTGATGTATCTGAAATGTATCATAAATTCTGGAAAAAGATTAGCATAACAAGAAACAGAAGTACATAAATGGTGTATAGATTCAGTATGATTAATTCTGTTGAAAGGAGATAAGGAAACCTTTTAGACTATGCAATCACTTTCGAATGCTAAAAGCAATGATGACTTGCCAGAACTCGAGGCGTAAGACAGCTGATAAAAGTTAGTCCATCCAGACTCTATACAGTAAATATCGGCTGCTGCCACAATAAAAAGAGTTCTAAACATGGGTAGATTCTGTCACAGCCCTCAGTTACGGGTTAAAATAGAACAAAAATGTCAGACTTAAGTCACCAGTCTCCTGTATGAACTATCTTTTTTTTCTATATCAATTTTAGGATTTTCATATTAAAGTAGCATACCTCAAGATTTTTTGTTTAATTTTTATGAAGACTAAACAATTGTGGAGACACACTTTTGTACATAATTATATGTTAATTTATTCATTATTAAGCATTTACAAAATTAAATTGATAATAGGACATACCGAGCTTGGGTGTTTTTTTTACATATTCAAGGTTAAGGTCATAGCTCAAGGTTAAAGGTTAGAACCAGGTTTGTTACTTTTTGTCAGGTTTCGTACCTTTGAACCATTTGACGGATATTTCTTATACTTAAGTCAAATATTTACCATTTGACGGATATTTCTTATACTTAAGTCAAATATTTATCTCACTGAGATTACATGTTTCGGACAAATTTCATGAAAGGGCTTTTTCCCCCCATCAAATCTATTCTTTTTGTTTTCTTAAACAAATTTGTATTGGAGCATAAATTATCCTGCCATAAACAATGCAATGCTATCATTTTTAATCAAAATATCATATTTATTACAGCAAAATGTTTTCTTGTGACTTACAATTTAAAATTTTATATTAAATGGCCACAGTGATCTTAAGAAACAGACTGCACAGAACTGTTTAAGGTGAAGGTAGAATTTGAACTGGTACCAATGGTCATTAGGTATTAACATTAACTTGATATTTTTACAAATTTATCATGGTTTCCTACTCTCTTTTGTAGATTATAATGATTCCTCATCTTTTATACCATATTTTATTTAATGTCCGATTTTTTTCTAAGTGTTGAATCACTAGATTGGAGAAAACTCTGCTTAGAATTGTTTTTATTGCTGTACAATATAAAACTTTTTTTTCTTCCTTCCATGCTGTTGTATGGTGATGATGTTCTGCACAATTGATGCACAATTGATGCACAATTAATGCATAATTAATGCATAATGATTATTTAGTATTTTGTAATGCTGTGAATCAGTCTAAACTGTAACTGTGTATAATATTGTAAGATCATTAGTGTATAGTCGCCTTAGTGCAGTAACAGGTTAAATCCTTAATATAATTAAATTGGAGTTAACCCGTTTTTGCATTAAGGTAATGATTAGATAATGTAGTATTTTATATGTCAAATCAGCATTATGAAATTTTGCCTTAACATTGGCTACTTTTCATTTTCACTTCCCCTCAACGCTGTGGGTTCGAATCCCGACAGGCCAACTTTGGATTCTTTCATGTGAGGAAGCTATCCAGCTAGCCAGTGGTTCTACTCGGGTGCCCGTTCGTGCCTGAATAATGCACGGAAGGGCACCTGAGGTCTTCCTCCACCAGTAAAGCTGGAACATCGCCAAATGACATATACTGTGTCGGTGTGACGTAAAACCCAAACAAACAAACTTTTCATTTAAAAAAAACTAAAAAAAAAAATCAAGCTAAGTCATTTTGTTTCAAAAAACTGAATTATTCAAAACCCTAAACAGTGTCAAGAAAATGTCTAAGAATCATTATAAAGCACTTTATTAAAATTTACACAAATTATGGGATGCTCTTTTTTTTTTCACTAAAGAAAATTATAATTTATAAACTTTTTTTTTATGAAGGAAAATAAACGAAGTTGAGAACAAAATGACTTATTTTCCATCTTATCACAAAATTATTGAAAGAATCAGCAGTGTGACTGGGAAGGATAAGAAAGAAAAAATATAGAATTTGTCATGTATTTAATATGCATCCAAAAATCGTTACCAAAAAGGGTTTAATTAAATCTTAGGTTAAATTTTATGCTCTTTGCACATACTTAACCTTAACCTGCCGGAAGGCCAGTACTTTATGTATACTGTGAGTGAATTTTGGCCATATTGTGTAGGCACAGAGAATGTCTGTGAGTGAAACTAGTATACTCCTTGTACTTGGGGCCAATTGAGGGTTTGTTTGCCAAAATTTGTCTAAGTAATATACACTGTAAATTCACTAAATTTCGTAGGCATGACATTTTTCGTGGATTTGTCACAAAGAACAATTTTATTGGTTTTTAAATGTGTGGACTGCGTTATAATTTATCCAATAGGTTAAATGTAAAAGATGTGATGCAAAATAATCTTACAGAAGACAAAATGAAATTTTGTTGGGTCTTGAATTTGTGGATTGACCTGTCCACGAAAACCATGAAAATTAGTTCCCATGAATAATAATGATTTGTGGTATATTGCATTTTGTCCTCCACCAGAAATTACTTGTTCTTTTCCATTGTAATTGTGTTCTTTTAATCATTAAAATTGCTTATATAGGAGTTTTCAAACCAGTTTTCATTGGCAAGTATTTAATAAGCACTAAAACTTTATAATTATAACCAAATAGGGTTCAACAATCTTGGATTAAACTTTACTATCTTTGCACAATTGTTTAGTTAGTTATTTGAGCAGCGCTATGACAAAACCAACATAATGCATTTGCCACCAGCATGGATCCAGACCAGCCTGTGCAACCCCGCAGACTGAACAGGATCCATGCTGTTCACTATCTGTTTCTCTACTTGTTATAGCGATTGTAAGCGAACAGCATGGATCCTGATCAGACTGCGCGGATGCGCAGGCTGGTCTAGATCCATGCTGGTTGCAAAAGCATTATATTGGTTTTATCATTGCACGGCTCATTTGTATTAAATAGTGGAAGATTATATTCTGTAATATTTTCAAACATATATAATTAGATATTCTACGTTATCCTATTTATTGAAACACTCCTGTGTTAAAGGGACTCCACTGAGGTTTATTCTTTTGAAAATAATTTGAACAGAAATATCTTGTTGAAAATTATAAATTGTGTACCTTTTGATGTAGGTCTACACCAATAACTTTTGTACAAAATATCAGTAATCATTTTTATTGTGCAAAATTTAAAAATGAATCGTGTTTCAACACTTTTAATTTAATCAACTCTGGCTATGAATCAAAACACCGATTTTAGAACTAATTCTGATCGTATAATTCTTATAATCTGTTGCTTATATTTCTGTTTAAAGTGTCCCACTTGATTATTTAGATGTTATGATTTTTATAGACTTTCATTTTGACCTCAGTGACGCTCCTTTAACTGCAATGTAGCCATATAGAGTTACATTGTCTGACTTGTTCTTGAAACATTACATAAACAATTTTACTCTAATACTTTAGTTCATTTTATTTCCAAGTAATAATAATCATTTTTACACTTCTGTTTAGCAATCAATAAAAAAAACTTGACCTTCAAGGTCAAATGTTTGAACTTTGATTGTTTTTTTGCTATAATTGGCTATAACTTTGTTGTTTATGAATGAATTGATAGATCCCTACTCTGACCTTTTATTTGAATATCAATAGATTTAACCACAAGCATTGACATGTGCTCTTTTGTTAACAAATAGGTTGTCGTGAAATTGATATTGTATCCACTAATCTGATAATAAGAACTAGATAGGTCATGGATCTATGCATTGTCTTCATGGTTACTTATTAGACCAGGCTTTCAAGTAGACAATATTGATTATAACCTTCACTCATCAGTGACCTTGACCTTGAAGGTCAAATTACATTGTATTGTAATTTCACAGTTTTTTTGCTATAACTGGCTATAACTTTGTAATTGATGAATGAATAAATGTCTTTATATTTGTGCACAATAATCCTTGACATTAATAGATTAAAGCAGTGAATTTTGCTGCAAATTTGATGGTAACTTTAATGTTATCTATTTATCGATTTGATTTATACTTGGACAAAAGAACACTTAATATGACAAAACCTGTATGTAATGAATAATTCAAATATGACCTTGACCTTTATTTAACCTTAAACTGTCAAAGTTTTATAATTGAAATGTGTTTAAATTTTCATAACTTTGTAAATTTATTTACTGATTTGTTTTATACTTGGACTAAACACTTATGACATTTATAATGACAAAACCTTGACAAATTGACTGTTAGGGTCAAATTATTCAAATAAACACATACCGGTATTTGACAAATTGACATGATGATTAATTAAGATGAGACCTTCACCTTTCTTTGACCTTGATCAAGGTCAAATATGAAATTTTAATTTTATTTGTTTAAAAAAATGCTTTGGAGCCCTTTTGGGTTGAAAGATCATGGTCACTTAGACCTTGAAGGTCAAAATGGTTTTCGGGACAATATTGCATACAACATTTGACATGCTGTCAAGGAGGGCAAGCAATTGTTTTACAAACATTTCTTTTTGAGCATATGGTTAAAGTGAGAGTTTTCATTGGGGTGAGCAGTAAAAGGCCATTTTAGCTATTTTGTTTACTGGAGCTGTTGAGAATGATTTGTGTTAAAATTCAGACTGATGTAGTGTAGAAATTAACTTCTAGAAAATTATTGATTAAATAATAAAGAATAGAATGAATATTTAAAAAAGATCAAAATTTTAATGTTGAATTTATTGATTGCTAAACAATGTGACATTTTTAGGGCAATTTATGCTGTCATCTCCCTCAATGCACCATCTGCCTTACTGTACCAGTCTTTCTCTGTGACACATCTGCCTCATTGCACCATAAGTCTGAGTGCAAATCTGCCTTATAGTGCACCATAAGCCTGAGTGCACTGTCTGCCTTAGTGTGCTGTAAGCCTAAATGCACCAACTGCTTTAGTGAACTGTGAGCCTGAGTGCATTGTCTGTCTGAGTGCACTGTCTGTCTGAGTGTACTGTAAGCCTAAATGCACCAACTGCTTAAGTGGACTGTAAGCCTGAGTGCATTGTCAACCTTAGTGCACTAATACATTGCCATAGTGTACCAACTGCCTGAATTCACCAACAGCCTTAGTGCACCATAAGCCTGAGTGCATTGTCAACCTTAGTACACTGTCTGCCTGAATTCACCAACAGCCTTAGTGCACCATAAGCCTGAGTGCATTGTCAACCTTAGTACACTGTCTGCCTGAATTCACCAACAGCCTTAGTGCACCATAAGCCTGAGTGCATTGTCAACCTTAGTACACTGTCTGCCTGAAGTCACCAACAGCCTTAGTGCACCATAAGCCTGAGTGCATTGTCAACCTTAGTACACTGACTGCCTGAATTCACCAACAGCCTTAGTGCACCATAAGCCTGAGTGCATTGTCAACCTTAGTACACTGACTGCCTGAATTCACCAACAGCCTTAGTGCACCATAAGCCTGAGTGCATTGTCAACCTTAGTACACTGACTGCCTGAATGCACCATCTTCCTTAGTGCACCGTAGGCCTAAGTGCAAGATAGCCTTTGTGTCTTGTCTACCTTAGTGCACTGTCAAACCTTAGTGAACCATCTGTATTAATGCACAGTCTGCTTTGGTCAGCCTATAAGTACCATCTGCCTTAGTGTACCAGTGGCCTTTCAGTGCAAGTCTGCCTTAGTACACTGTCAGCCTATGTGCACCGTTTGTCTTAGTGCACCATCTGAATTTATGCACTTGCTGTGCCTTAGTGTCAGCATTAGTACACCGTCTGCCTTAGTGTATCGTCTGCTGTAGTTCACGGCAATACATAAGCAAGCAAGTAGTTAGGATGCCATTTGTTTTCTTTCATTTAATTCTGTGCAACAGCTTTGCGCCACTGTCTTAGCAATATATGTTATCAAATATAATTTTGTTACTGTTTAGCTGTAGGTAACTTGGCACCGCCAGATCTTACACGTTTTGGATCTTACAGTTCCCCGGCCATTTCTGACTTTCTCAATACTGATTGTGGTATGTTACGTTATCATGTTAATGTTACATGTTTCTTGTTTACCTTTTTCTCCTCGAATCTTTGTTGCCCTGCACTGACACCACCATGGCACTGAGCTAACCAATCAATACCTAGTTTTACTAAAATGCCTTAATTGTTAATAGAAAATTTTGAAATATATTGTATTATAATTATTCAACAAGGTTATTTTTTTAGAAAAGTAATTCTGAGTTATAGTTGTAAACTTGGTACTTATGGTCATTTATGCTTATTTTTAATTGATTGTTCAAAGAATGAGGAGAGCTACAAATTTGTATTATACTCACTCAGGCCTGTCAACATCACACTTTGATAAAGCGTTTGCATACAAGTTGGTATCTTCAAAACTACTTAAGGGAATGGGTTGAAACTTCAGCCACTTATTCAAGGGCATAAAAGGAGGTCACAATCTAAGGCTGATAACTCTTAATATTTGGATTTTGCAATAATTATGGCCCTTTTTAAAGTAACAAAATTCTACATTATCCAGGCTTTTGTTGTACTATTATCCAGGCTTTTGTTTTACTATCATTAGCATTGAGAATAGTTGAGCATGCTGTCCTATTGATAGCTTTTGTTCTGCCATGCGTTTATCCCTCCCGATTGTTTTGAAAGAATTAATTTTTAGACAACTGTTATCAATGTTATCAATTACAAGACTTTATAAGGAAAAGAAATAGTGTCATTTGCAAACACCCTTAAAACAGTGAGGACCTTGACTTCTGTTGACCAGAAAAAGCCCTCGGGTGTAATTTTACCTCATAGGGACATTCACATGTTTATAATTATCATTTCCCCTTGTTGTTATGTGCAGGTTATTGTGTTTTGGTATTTTTATGTAATCTCAACATTGAGCCAAAAAGGAGAGTAAAGATTAATCCCCCACTAAAATTTTTAGCTCTCCTTAGGGGTTCGGGAACATGGTTATAAGTCACTGATGCATTATACTTACCATTTCCTTTGTCATTTTCTTAAAGGGACTTGTAATTGAGGTTTTTTGACATAGCGGGACTGGAAATAATTTTTTGAGATTACTGCTCCATTTGATGTAGGTTTACAACTTGTATGCAAAATTTGAGATTATTCACTCACTCTGTTTTTGTAGAATTATTATTTTAATTGTGAAAAATGACCCAAAATTGAAAGTGTTGCAATGTTTTTCACTCAAATTGGGCTACACATAGTGCAAAAATATGATTTTCAATTTATTCCTTAGTATATTATTTTGTAATTAGCTATTGCATAACTTTTTGTTTAAGTGCCTTATGTTGGAAATTCAAATCTTATGTTTATAGGGTTTTGGACCTCGATGGAGTTTCTTTAATATTTTGAATTAGAATTAAGTTAATGTTTATAATAATTATGCCCCCACTTCAAAGAAGAGGGGGTATTGCTTTGCATTTGTCTGTCGGTCGGTCTGTAGACCAATTGGTTACCAAGTGATAACTAAAGAACCCTTAGGCCTAGGAACTTAAAACTTGGTATGATTATTGGTCATGACCAGTAGATGACCCCTATTGATTTTGAGTCAAAGGTCAAGGTCACATAGACCTTGTAGGTAAAAACCGTTTCAGATCAATAACTAAAGATCGCTTAGGCCTAGGAACCTCACACTTGGTAGGATCATTGGTCATGACAAGTAGATGACCACTAATGATTTTGTGGTCAAGAGGTCAAAGGTCAATGACACATTGACTTTGTAGGTAAAAACAGTTTCCGATTAATAACTAAAGAACGCTTAGGCCTAGGAACTTCAAACTTGGTATGATTATTGGTCATGACCAGTAGATGACCACTATTGATTTTGGGGTCAAAGGTCAAGGTCACATAGACCTTGAAGGTTAAAACGGTTTCCGATCAATAACTAAAGAATGCTTTGGCCTAGGAACTTCAAACTTGGTATGATCATTGGTCATGACCAGTTGATGACCCCTATTGATTTTGGGGTCAAGGGGTCAAATGTCAAGGACACATTGACCTTGTTGGTAAAAACGGTTTCCAATCAATAACTAAAGAACACTTAGGCCTAGGAACTTATATCATGGTTTTGATGATTGTTCATGACCAGCAGATGACCCCTTTTGTTGTTTGGGTCAAGGGGTCAAAGGTCAAGGTCACATAGACCTTGTAGATAAAAATAGTTTCTGATCAATAACTAAAGAACACTAAATAGGTCTAGGAACTTCAAACTTGGTATAATGATTGCTCATGACCAGAAGATGACCCCTATTAATTTTGGGGTCAATGGGTCAAAGGTCAAGGTCACATTTATCTTGTGGTTAAAAACAGTTGACGATCAATAACTTGACAGCCCTTGAGCTGTTGGCCCTCAAACTTGGTAAGTGCATTAGACTTGACAATTAGATGACCCTATTCATTTTGGGGTCAAGGGGTCAAAGGTCATGGTCCATATTAACCTTGTATGTGAAAAGGGTTTCCGATCAATAACTTGACAAGCCCTAGCTGCTGGCTTTCAAACTTTGTAGGTGCATTGGTCTTGGCCTGTAGATGACCCCTATTGATTTCGGGGTCAGTGTCATATTGACATTGTACTTAAAGACGGTGTCTGACCAATATCAACAACTCAAGTTGCCTTGGTTGATATCTTTATATTCAACTTTTCGTAAACACATTTGAAGGCCTTATGTAAAATAACTTAGCTGTCATTAATGAGGCGTACATGATTCATAAAATTTATGCATATATTATTTGATAAGATTTGTAATAACTTTGTCATAAAATTGCTGCACATAACCTATGCGGTCACAATGATTATTACCTAGTGACTAGTCATGACCAGTAGATAACCCTTGTTGATTTTTTGTTCACCAGGTCAAAAGTCAGTCATAAGTTATATGACTCATAACTACCTGATCACATGACTAATTGGCTGCCGATAGGGGGCATACATGTTTTACAAACATACATGTATCTTGTTATATTTGCTAATAATAAAGAATTTGATTTATACTTAAAACTTTATATATAAGGATAATTGTAGGGTTGACAGCAAAACTGTTGTACATCCTTTATTTCATATAAGTTACTGCAGTTTTTCTATCAACAAATGAATTTATCCATTTTCCAATATTTATCAATTATATTAATATAAAAATTTAGCATTTGTGTTGCATTTTGCCATTTTCACTAATTTTTTTTTATTTCGAAGTGTTTCTTGTGTTTTCTCTAACACGTTTTTATTTTTATTTATTATTATAACTCACAATTAGACGAGTGCCGATCACAGCTTGAAGCTAAAAAGAGGCCACAGAGTTGCTATTACTTCAGTAATGGTAATGTTTGTAGAGGCTGTCTACACAAACAATAATTCACAGTTCTGTTGTGTTGTTTTGATTTTCGTTTGTTTTTTGTTTGTAAGGATTTCATATAAGGAAGAAATTCTCATATATTTATGTATGATTTTTCTTTAAAAAAGAGGGTTGCATTTATTTTTTTTGCTGCAGCCTTATTTGATTTACATGTTTTTGCAGCAAAGCTTCCCTTAAAGATGTCACATGTTGGGTACATAGGATATTCTGTTCTAACATTATTAGTACCAAAAAATGTGAATTTCATATAACTTTAATTGTTTTGTGATATTAACTTATAGGCTGACATAGTTTGTGAAATTTATGTAAACTGACAAAGTTTTCTAATTTAAAAATTAAAAACTGACAACATTAATTTTGTCAACTTAAAATCAACTGACAAAATTGGTCAAAGATACACTAGCTACAGATGGATAAGTTCTTATTTGTTTGCTGTTTTCTTGGAGTGATAGAGCTGACCCCTAAGCTTTTAAGGTGTTTTTTGGGGTGTGTTTGAAGTTTGCCGTGGTTATGCACCTTGCTATTTGAATATCCATAGGTTTAAGGGTTTTGACTTTTTATGAAAATGTATAAAATCGCAAGAGGAATTTTCACTTATCCCCTGCAACAAACCTTTATTGAAAGGATATTTAGCTAAATTCTGTCATTTATTTAACCCCATGCAATAGCCATTTCTTCCCTTTTGGTTTTAGAAAAAAATTGTCATGTTGAAAGAAAAAATCCTTGAAACAAGTTAATTGTGAGTTTTAAACATATGATATTAAACTAAGCAATATTTATATGAAATCCTGTTTCAGTTTTTTGTTATTACATGTATGAGGGGTTATCCAAAAATTTGTGGACTTTTTAAATATCTCTAAATGAATGTCAACGTGTATTGTAATGAAAATTTATCAGCATACATTGTAGAATATTATCAACACATTTTGAAAGGAATGGTCAATTGTGTCAATAAATAATGATTTTATATTGCTTTTAAATAAGCACATACACGGCACCCGGCTCACGGTAGAAAACGCAGTAAGTCATCGTATATTTCTTGCTAAAAACTAAATTAACGTAGAAAATCCACTGATCATCGCATGTGTCTTCCATGATGTCATTTAAGTAATTCTTTAAACTAATGGACGTCATTTCCATTTATTTTTGTTGATATCGCTAGAAACACCAGAGGCCTTTATTGTTTACAACAGGAATATGAAGGACACCCGGTAATTAGAAAATCGCAAGATCATAAACAATCATAAATTTTTGTTGTAATTTGGAAATGACACCTACAAAAACATTTGATAAAAATCAGCAGATGAACAGAGGAAAGAAAATTTCAAGATCATTTGTATTAAAGTGGCATAAAAAAATTTAGTGATGGACATTCCTTTGAGAAGCAGTAACCGTCATTGACTGCGTAACGTTGAAGCACAAGTTGAACGTTAATATTATGACGTTGACGTCAATAACTTTTTGGAGTGCGCCGCTGTCGCCGACATGTGTTTATGTAAAATTAAATATTGTTGTAATATAAGAAGCTACTCACATGAATTTTCTATGTTTATTTCTTATTAATTCCTTTAAGCAGTGTAAGAACTTCAAATTAATATCTCAAATATATTTTACGCAGAAAGTCCACAAATTTTTGGATAACCCCTCTTATATAAGAATTACATACCTTAATGAAAATGTTTAAGTAAGCGTCAAATTTTTGATAATTTCTTTTATATTAAAAGGCCTCACGGTATGTAACATTGTCTTTCAACTGTAAATTTGCTTAAGATATTTATACAAAAACTTTCGAAAGATTGAGGCAAGATTGAGTATTGTCAGGATTGGTGCAGTATTGCCTGATATTTGTCGAAATTAATCATTTCATTAGTGTTCAGTATCATTAAATTAAAGTGAAAAATATTGCTTTTTAGTATTTATATAGTAATATTTTCCCTTTAAAAAAATCAGCTTTTTTTTTGTAAATTGAGTTGTTTATTGCCAAGGTGTCTGTCCATCACTCTGAATCGCTGACATTGCATATCTATAAAACAAACTGAATTTTATCTGTCTGTTTCAAGTGCTTGAAATTTATATGGACAGAGGTGCTGTATTTAATTCTGTAAGCATGGTAATAATGATTATTTTCATAAAACGATCTTTTCAAAGGAAGTTCATATAAGTTAAGAAAGAACATAACTGAATTTTAAAATATATAATTTTCATTTTTTCAGACATTGAGTACATGTCAGTAACAAATGATATCCCATTTCTTTTTGTTCATGCAAGTTAATGTGTACACAATTTTTTTCTACTTCAAAATGTCAAAGTGACAATACATGCACACTATGATAACCAGTGGTTTGTTAAAATAGAAGTTAACTTTTATTATTTTGACATGGTAATTATTTCAGCAGCATGCTCACAGAAAGGTAATAGTCTTGATTTTAGTAGTAAACTTTCAGCGGCAATCAACAGTTTTATACCTTACCTAGAAAAACTCACAGCTGTGAGTTTGAATCCTGTCAGGGACTTCTGATTCTTTAATGTCAGGAAGCTATATCAAGCCAGCTAACAGAACGTCAGTGGTTCTAACTAAGGTTGCCTACTCATGCCTGAAATAATGCACATGGAGTCACACAAGGTAGCTTTATGACCTTTACACTGTCGATGTGACTTTAAATCCAACAAGAAACAAATAAACAAACTATACCCGGAGGATGCTCACAGGCTTGAGGTCTTTTTTGATCAAAACCTAGTTAACTTATGCCAGGTCATGTTTCCTCATATGATCTCATGTTAGGCCAGGAAAGCAGCCCCGGGAGTGGTTTAAATAAGCTACATATATTTTACAATCAAGCCTAAAAGAGTGAAGAAAAGTAATTATTATCTATAATGGACTTGTCCAACATTCAATCTTGACTAAACCATTCATCATTTTTAGGGAAATTTTCAAAATACATGTACATGTTGTTAATTTTGTTTTGAGTAGTAATTTTGAAAAAATACAAAATACATTTTTAAGGGTCTTAACTTAACTCCTCATGTCCTTCCCCTTGTGGCTGAGGCATTGTCTGTAAGGGTTGAGGCATCAGAATTGAAGCCACCGTTTATCCCTGTGTGATTGTAAGGGGCAACTAAATGGCTTTGAATTATAGGAGTCTATGCATCTCTTAGCTCCAGCAGGTAAGGTGGTTTTGGCCCCTTGTTTTTCACACCTCACAAATAAATGGATGGGTCATGTAAAGCATCCTTTCTATATAGCTTTCCTTGCTAAATTGAACAATAACAATTTATATCATAGGTTTTCTATTGAATAATCACACTTGAAACTGTTGATTGTCACTGGAGGTCAATTAATACAATCCTAACATTTGAGCCGCGTCATGACAAAACCAACATAATGGGTTTGCGACCAGCATGGATCCAGACCAGCCTGCGCATCCGCGCGTCTCAGTCTGATCAGGATCCATGCTGTTCGCTATCAGTTTCTCTACTTGTTATAGGGTTTGTAAGCGAACAGCATGGATCCTGATCAGACTGCACGGATGCGCAGGCTGGTCTGGATCCATGCTGGTCGCAAACCCATTATGTTGGTTTTGTCATGACGCGTCTCATTTTATGTAAATTGCTATCTCTCAGTTTCATTTGCTTCTGTAGTTTTGATTTTCCTAACACAAAACCAACTTTATCATTAGGTAGCTCTAACCTTCATGATATTGTTCTCATAACCCTTTAAAATATAGGCCACATTTATTCATTAGAAAGTCACAAATGGTCCTAATCCTTAACTTGCTAGAACAGAATGTGCCATGTTAGCAGACACATCTGTACAATCTGGCCTGAGGCTCTATACATGTACATTTCAAAGCAGAGCAGATCCATTGCACAAATTCGGCATGGAATTATGACATGGCCTTGAGATTATAAGAGTTCTGTCTGAAATCTTAGGTTTTTCATTGGTCAGTAGACATCCTTTGACAGTTTCTGACAAATTACATACACAGAGATAAAGGGTGACTGCAATTCTGATGCCTCACCCTTACAGGCAACCCCTCAGCTACAAGGGGGAATCACTCTTGGTTCTAGCAGGTTGTCTGTTAATTTAACAAAGTTAGCTTCAAGTTTCACATGTTAGTCTTGAATTTCTGTAGATGTATCCTTGGTCTAGCTGTTCATAGGAATATATTTCTCAAACATTGAAATGGGTAGATTATACAGGAACAATTTTGATTTTTGCTGTAAAAAAAACTTTTATCAGTATTTATCAGTATACATGTACTAGCCAATTGTTTGTTAGTATTTTGATATACTATTATCTCTTTGATCAACAACAAAAAGATTCTTCATCTAGAATAATTACAATATGCAATTGTGTATTCCATGTAGAGCTTACTACAGATGCTATTAGAACAGGATTATTTTAATATTCCTATAGTAACAAAGGCTTCAGATAATGAAATATCTATATATTAATCTTTGACAAAGGAATGTTTAAAATGACAAATAGACCTACCATAGTTTATAATAAAGACTTTGTATGAATCTAAGGTTTGTAATTAGTTTATTTATTTAAGTTTTACATCTTAAGCAAATCTCACAGGAGTGTTCCACACATGTTTCCCCTCTAGAGTTAATTACAACTGCGTCATTTCCAATTTCACCATGGCAACAGGCTGAACTTTTTTTTTCTTCAAAAATTAGTATAATAATAAAGATTCAGTTGGAAAAAATCATGCATTTTCATGATGATAAAACATCTTAATGTTGATTATAATTGCAAAAAGTGTCCTGTGTGCCCAATTATTTTGATTATTATACATTGTTTTTTATGTAATTTTCTATTCAAATTTCAACAAAATTTTACTGCCAGTTTATGGACAAATTCAAAAACTAAACAGGACAAGTATGTGCACAGTAAAAGGTAAAAAAAAACACATTTTATTTCTGATTACATGGAAATTGTAACTATGCTTTGCATAACA